AAGGTTAGTGAGCCTCGTGTTTAAGCTGCAGATGAACCTGCTTTACCTCCTAGTGTAGCTTTCCTGCATCTGGTCATTACTGGATGGTGAAGGGTGTGCCCTTATGGATGACAGCCATGGTGAGGCTTCAGACAGGGAGGGAAGGTTGCAACCTTGCAACCGAAAGGGTTGTCAAAATGGAGATCAGGTCTCTGTGGCCTTCTCTTCCCCATCATTGCTGCACGCACAGATTAAATACATCCTGACAAATACATAGGTCCCCAAAGCACAGAGTTGGGAATCTGTGGTTTGAATCTTCAACCATGAGCATACAATAGATATAAAGGTCACTCACAGTTGCCTAAGAGTAAGGTGATAATTTATTAACAATGCAATTTGTAATTCCTCTCTTGTCATTTCGTTCTCTCCTCTGAGGTCTTTTCCCAGGGGTCTAAGCATCTAATAGCGATATCACTGGGCTTTCACCCAGTGCACACGTGTAATAGAGTTTTCAACTACTGGGAGTCAAGTGACATAAATGTTAATTTGGGCTTGAATGAGAAATTGTTAAATCTCTTTATGGCAATACATTGTGCATTTGAACTTTCCTTTTTGCCATTATATTTTTGCATCTGGAAAAAATTAATACAAGACTATAAGTTGAAGTATCATCATATGAAACTAACGGTGTTGAGTTCCTCTTTCAAACACCGGTGAACAATTCAAAGGGAAAATAAACAACTTTAGGAACTTCTTGTTAGGATAAATACTAAGAGGCGCTTGATAATTTTGTTTAACATATGCAGTAAGTGGAGTCATACATGCTTTGGGTATGACCTAAAACAAACCCTACATTTGCTAGGTCCATTTATTAAGACCCACTGGACAAAGCAGACAATGTGGTCCTATCTGGATAATAATACATTGGTCATTCCTTGGAAAAGTCATTTGGAGGAGGCCAGTATGGTACCTTGCCAGCCTTCTCAACCGATGGTAATGAATTGGAAAGCATAATTCTATGAATGCTGAGAAAATGGAAAGAAGGAAGTCTCTACGACTGAGATTCTTTCTCTCAATCTTCCTCTCACTTAAGAATGGCGGGCTCCAATCAATTGGGATTGGAAGAAGTTTTCAGAGTCGATGGCTCTCCAGTATTATAACCCCACACTGTTCCCTTTAGCAGCTACTTTAAATAGTCACCACAGCACCAGAGGACAAGAATGTCAAGGTCAGAAATAGAACAAACTATGCAGCCTCTTTTTCAAGTATACTGGGTTCTTTTTTTGACCCTTTCCATGCAAGAACTCTTAAGTGATCTCTCTGACACCTCAATTTGTGCTTCCAAGATTTTATTTAAATACATTTCCTTTGATGAAGTATTGTTCCGGCTCCCCTACATTGCAGGGCACATGCTAACGGATAGAGAAAGATGATAAAGTCATAACTTTGTGATCCATAGCTTCATTGTGTTCTAGAAAGTTCTATGACCATCCAGGATGACTAGCATACCAGTGAACTGTTAACTGTATGAGTTCTATGGATAAGGACTCCAGCTGGCTAGACTAGATAGTCATTCTGCTAAGCTTTGCTGCCTTGGATAATCTCTTTGCTGTTTGTAGCTGTTGAAGGCCCAAACGCTGATCTACCAGTAAGTTACATCATTGTTTTAAGGTGCATAGTTTGTCAGGAGTGGAAGCTACTCAATGTAAGTGCTTGATATCTCACTATCCACTTGTCCTGAGGGTACCCAGGACAAGATTCAGCAATGGGATGGATGGGTCATCCTGCTATGTCCTTACCAGCTCCCACAAGAGCATTTCAAATCCCTCCCCCAATATGCCATAGCTAATGGCTCTGGCTGTCAAAAATCTCACACTTTCCATGAATGGCCAATTAGATGTGAGCATGCCATTGTCCCTGTGATGGCACAGAGCATCTACTCTTAGCCCAAGGTGCCGCCATGGGACTGGTGCCTTGATCTGAAATTTCCTGTTCAGAAAGCATTGATGTCATACCCAAGCCTTTGATCCTGCAATGTTATGCAACACTCTTTGTCCCACAAATACCATGGATATATGCTGCACCTTGGGTCAGAGAGACTTGAACAATGACCTCACTTTAATAACAGCTGCTCATTGGTGTGGGGGAGAGGCGGGGGGCGGGTCAATACATTCAAGAATGCTGGGTAAGGCAAAATAATGTTTTGTTTGAGGGAACTGACTGACATCTGGAAGGGTCCTTGTTCCCTTGCGCTAAGGCCTCCCTGGGAACATATACAGCCACGTCCCAATCACCCTGCCTGAGTGCTGGGGTCTAGCTTATGGAGAGCTACTTGATTATGCATATGGTAGCTTGCCATTTTCTGGAGGCCTCTCAATGTTTGAAGATCACCAGTTCCACCTGACATCACCACACTCTTCCCACAATATCCTTGAACCTCTGAAGCCATTTAATTCCCCCTACCTGACCAGTGCTGAGGTTTGAATTCAAGGCCTCACATTTTGTTCTACTGGTACTCTCCCACTTGATCCACATCTCCAACTCAGCTGTTTTACTGATGATTTTAGAGACTTAAGTCTCACACATATTTCTGCCTGGTCTTTAAACCACCATCCTCTAGATCTCAGCCTCCTGAGTAGATAGGATCACAGGCATGAGCCTAGGTCCAAACCATTTACTCCTAACAGCTGGTGATTCGGGCTCCCCTTTGAAGAACATAAGGAATTTTCTGTGGGGAAAGGTGACTTCCTAGCTTTTACCTCTTTTGAGAATAAGGACATTGGTTTAGAGTTCAGCAAGAGAAGATTGGATTTTACTGAACGCAGGCAGCAATGGTACCTCCGCAATGGGAAGCTGGGCAAGTTCCAGAGACAGGCTGAATCCCAGAAGCTCTGGAGCACCTTCTCTTTGACAACAGAGCTGAGAAAAACCTCTGTAAGCAAGTGACTGTGCATCTTGTCTCCATTTTAGTTCATAACCCTGTCTGTTTTAACTCCAACCATCTAAGCCAACCTCCCACCAGACCCAATGCCAACCTCCTCTCCCCAGGTTCTAGCTGTCAGCGACTGATCTTGCTGGGTTTTGCTTCATTCACCTCTGCTAGAATTTAAAAAAACTGTGTGAAAAAAGTCTCAAAACCTTACTCTTTAGAAAAACTTTGATTCCTAGTGTTCCACCACCTCTGAGTTAATTTCCATTCTCTGTATTTTCACAGCAGCTCCATGCTTGTACATTGTGTCTCCATGATTATTTGGAATGCTTGTTCCATGATTATAAGTTCAAGAAAAGCATGAAACAAGATTTTTCCATCTTCCTTCTGTTCTTAAAATAGACATCTTCCTGAAGTAGTTACTTACTTTGCTAAGTGAATGAATGGATGGGTAGCTGAATAGATATTTGAGCTACTGAATGCACACGACTCCAGATTTTTAAAAAGAAATCGGGTTTAAACTAACTTACATTTGGACTTAAAAGTTCCAAGTGGTTAAAAGTTTAGCAACTTGAGGAAAAAATAAGTATTTTCTTACCTATGTAGAGCTGATAAGCCTAAAAATGTGTCAGAGTGTTCTAGCTAGCACACCCCACCATTAATACATGGATGGATGGTTATCAGGGTCTTTTACTTGAGAGATCACCAGAATCAGATCTATAAAGCACGTTTTATTCCATTGGCAATACATCCCCTTTGTGGTTCCTTATAATCTCAGTTCAAAGCCGGCTTCTTATTGTTTTGAAACAAAGACTGTTACAATCAAAGTCTAGATGCCATTTTAATTTTTCCTGACTCCCAAAGACAATTCTGAGCAATTCACCTTTCTTGTTTCCATCTATTCAATAAATTCCCCAGGTCATCATAATGAATAACAGTCCTTGCAAGTATTCTGAAAGGCAGACTTTTCAGCACAACTGGCTACTAATGAAGTCAATCAAGTGGTAAAACAAAATGAAATGAGCCGCAACCCATAATCCTCAAATAAGGTTAAAACAAAGGAGTTTCTTTCTTTCTTTCTTTTTTTTATTGCTGCTAAAATGTCCTAGCAAGTTCTTGACAGAGCACAGACAGAAAATAGAAACAAATACCTTGCTGGGAATGTTGCCTTGCTTGGATTCACCTTGACTACAGCAATAAGGCATTGCTTAACAGTCAAAGTGCAGTAGGTCATCTCCATAGATGACATGGTGAGCATGCTGTTCCCAAGGAAGCAAAACATATGCAAACACATCACATGATCTAGTCTTTTGCCCCAGGACAGATGGGCCTACTGGAGCTGTAAGAGCCTTTGTTCCTTCCTAGGCAAAGAAAGCCAATGTGGCCCTCTGCCTCTGCTCACTGGGCCATACTCTTTCATAATATTTCTTTCCCTCTTATCCAGCCATTGTCTCCCACATTTCCTTCCAGTACCACTTTACTTCCTACTTTCCCAGCATTCCACTCTTCCTTTCTAGGTATTGCTAGTAAGATGAGAACTATATCCGAACTAGTGCATGCAAATAGGCCTCAGTGGGTAAGTCAGAACTAGTGCACACATGTGTTTTTGTCTTCTCAAGAGGAATTTGTACCAACTCACGTATCAACCTATGTGTTGTAATTAAGGGACTCCCTTCCCACTCACTACCAATGTAAGCATTCATTTAGTCTCTTCCACAGTCTCCTCCCTAGCTTCCCAGAAAATGATTACATTTGCAAGGACAAAGGTGGCTTTGAGAGGTAAAGTAATATCACTTATACAGTAAGAGAGAGAAACACCCTTTGATATGTCTCATTGGAAGTGTGCCATTGTGATTGGCAGAAGGTGAGGGTGAAGGTAGGCTGGGGGATGTTGGTCATAGGGCGGCTGCTGGCAGTGAGGCAGGCCATGAGGTCTAAAACCTTGTCCCATTGTGGACCTGACCTCTGTGTGTGTGTGTGTGTGTGTGTGTGTGTGTGTGTGTAGCCTACTGGGGCCCACAGTTCTGTCACTTCTATCTTTCATAATTATGGAACCTCTGCTCATGACAGCCACCTAGCTCACTTTTTTTTGTCTCGAAAAGGAAGACCCCCTCAGCGTGATAAAATACAGAGTGCAGATTCAAAGTCAACTATGGGAGGAGGCATTTAGAGGAACTGAACAAATCAAAACAAAACAGTTTTTTTTCTTTTCCCACCCACCCTTTCACCCCCCAAGAGTAAAAGAACTTTTGTTCTTCCCAAGTCCTAAGAGGCACAACAGGTAGCAAGAAGGCCTGGGAGGCGTCTCCTGCTGAGCTCTCTCTGGCCCTGGTGGGAGATCTTCCCTTTTCCGCTCAAGTGATGACAGTAGGTCCTCTGCGACCCGTTCTCTCGTGAATCTGGGATATTTTCAGTGCGATGGCGATGAGAGGGCTCAGCACCGCCTGGGGAAGGAAGAAGAGCATGAATGAACAACTCAGATCAGAGGCAGGACAGGGCTAGAGTCAAATTCCCATTTGTGGAGTTTACAGGCAGCCAGGGAGGAAAGGGCAGTTGTTGACACTTTTTTCTCTCCTTCAAAGGAGAGCAGAGCGGGCAGGGCAGAGAAGCAGGGCAGATGAAGTGCAGCTAAGTCTTATGGATTGATTTTCAAATTAATTTACTCAAGAGTAAATTTCTGGGTGTAGTGGGGTATGCTTGAAATCCCAGTGACTCAGGAGGCTGAGGCAAAAGGACTATAAATTTGAGGATAAAGTTACAGAGTTTCTTTCTCAAAAACAAAATTTTTTAAAAAATGAAAGGGCTAAAGGCATGGCCCATGTGGTAGAGTGCTTGATTTTTATGCAGAAAGCTCCAAATTCATTCCTCAGTACTGCAAACACACACACACACACACACACACACACACACACACACACACGACATGAGATCATTTTACAAACCGAGAATGTGAATTTAAAAAGTTCAGAAAAACTCCTTCAGTCATCCTCCATGCAATGTGAGGGGAGAAAAAAAAGCTCCTTCTTTATCCTAAGACTGTGGATTTGAAGAACCCATTATCCGATGTTTGGAGAAAGCAGAACCATTGCTAGTGCTGCAGAAATCACTGAGATTTCTTCCTGTCTTACAATACTCTGGTTGTGTAGGGCTCTCAGTGTTCTCAGGTGGGGTGGTGTACAGGCCCGAGGATCCTTGCATGGGCCACAGATGTGAAGAGAATGAGACTGATTTCTTGCCTTTTAGCTGTGAATCTAGGTCAAGGGCAAGGCATTTTCCCTCAAGTGGAGCACATACTAAGGATGATTTAATTGGTGCATGGATTCAGCATCACTTTATAAAAGAGCAAGAAAATCAGTTTATTCTCTCCCTTCTCCCCCATCCTATTGATATCAACGACAATTTGTTGCCAATCTTTAACACTTTAACCAAGATATTGCATGTCGGAGGCAAGAATTACCCAACTAGAAGATGTTACTGTATATTTTTTATTGACTTTGTTTTTATGGTGTATTTATAGTTGCCAAATAGTATCGTTTTTCCATATTAGTTCACTAATGTAAACCTTCCATAGCAAATAAATAAACTGACATGAAAATGAAGTCAGTTCATTTCCAACAGATGCTAATAAAGAGATCCTGATAGGAAAGTTAGAGCAAATAAGGATTCCGTATTCAGAAAAATAATGCTTGTAGTTAGGGAAGATTAGCTTTAACCTATTCTTAATAGAAGCAAGAATGAGAAGAGTACATGTGTTCTAAGTTAGCAAAAACACAAGTCAATGTACAGGATACAAGACGGTAGGGGGTCCAGGGTGCCCCGAATTAAGTGTAGGGACAGAAATCCTCAAAGATATGCAAGACAAGCTGATTTTGAAGGTTCTAAATGGTAGAATAAGGTACCCAACTTTAATTCATTAGGAAAGATCAGATATGGAAGTTCACAGAGCTGAAAGGTAACACCACCTTCAGAGCTCTACTTTGGAAAGACATCTGGAAGCAAGACTAATAACTTAATATATTTGTGGCTATTTCATATACTTCAATGTATACGCTCAATAACCAATAGCTATAACGTAACTTCACCTGATTGAAACAACTTGAATCATACCCCAGTCTTTTTCATTTTAATTTGTTTTTCAGAGTCTCATGCTTTTGCTCAGGCCAGCCTCCATACCTTGATCCTCTTACTTCTTTCTCCCAGGTAGCTGAGTTTACAGGTATCTGCCACCATGCCCAGCCTCCTTTAATCCCCCTTTTCACATCATCAGTCTGTCTTGATCCAAAATGGACCAACAGTGATGATGGGAAATGCCTACAGATAAATGAGAATTAGAGTACAAAACTTAGAAAAATCCATCTAGCTTGTCAATATGGAAGGTAGACCTTCACACAAACTCTCTTGTGTGGGCAAAATGCCATGGTGCTTTTCAGCCAAAGGGGCTGATGGAGGGAAAATAAGGCAGCATTTTGGGACTTCAGTGTCTCACCTGATAGAAGCCACCTTGACCCTTTTACACCACCTTCTCTGCTTTGGGGTTTTAGGAGGCATTGGGATTGCAAATCCCACATTAAAATACAGAGGCCATTTTCCTGTCTGTTCAAATGGGAACTTCATTTGGCTTCACCCATGGAAGCATCATGCAAGCACTGAGCATGGAAGGTCACGGAAGAAGTCTGAGGGCACACGCATGCTCACTGGCCAACCTCTGTGGGCCCAGTTGCAAGGCATTGGACAAAACCTCAGTGCTCTTTCAGCATTCTAGGAAGTACAAATTCATTTGCAAGAGTTCCCCCCCTTCAATCTCTCAGAAATGTTCCCCAGATCGCTATTTCCCTTTCCCTTTCTTCTCTCTTTTTATGTCTGCAGTCAAGACATTGCACAAGGAAGAGGAACCCTAACTGGTTCAGATCTACACGTCTCCTAAATGTCTTTATCATGTCTTCACATTTTTCTTCAAGTATATCACAGAAGACTTCAAAGGATTGCTTCATGCAGAATATACTCCCTAGTTGAATGAAAAATGGATCTATTTCCCCACCCGTATAAAAGGTTAGCAGAAACGACTGCAGAATTGAAACCAGAAGGGGAAAAAAGCCAACAGGATGACTGGCTCTCCAATCTGTGTTATTCTGAGGACTCTGCCTCCTCTTTCTCTCTTTGCCCCCCTAAAGGACTTCTACAGCTAAAATCTACATTAGTGGACCTAACTGTTGCTTTTGAAAATCTGGTGGCTATGGTTGGAACAATAATGTGATTCGGCTTGGCTTTGTGCTTATGGATCCAGGAAGTAAAAGCATCCACTGGTCTCCCCTAAATTGGTCATCTATTTCTGCTACCTGAGGACCAGCTTAGAATTATCTGATGATCCTGGTATGGTCTGTAGCCACAGAGATAAAGAATCCATAGTCCTGCCAACCTAGCAAGGAACATATACCCTGACAAATGCCTTTCATGCTCATGATCCTGCTGTATACCCAGGTCTGGGAGCCAGTCTTGTAAACCTTGTGTTCCTTACCTGAAGACAGGTAGAAGAGGCTAGACAGTGTGGACTAGGATGCTCAGCTCCCTGGATGAAAGCCTGGCTCTGTCCCTTTTGAGCCCTGCAATCTGGGTAAAGTCACGTAAACCTCTCTACACATTCATTTTCCTCACATGGAATAAAGAGCATTTACTTGGTACAACAGGTGAGGACAAAATGAGCCGAATGAGTAGGAAACAGAATTGACATACATGCATAAGCATTCGCTATTATTGTACAATTCCAGAATCTTCTAATAGGATGGTTTTTTTTTCGGTCGCGAGGCTGGAACTCTGAGCATGGGCGCTGTCCCTCAGCTTTTCAGCTCAAGGTAATCACTCTACCATTTGAGCCACAGTGCCACTTCTGATTTTCTGGTAGTTAATTGGTGATAAGAGTCTCGCGGACTTTCTTTGCCTGGGCTGGCTACGAACCACGATCCTCAAATCTCAGCCTCCTGAGTAGCTAGAATTACAGGCATGAGCCACCAATGTCCGGCTCTAATAGGATGTCTTAATTAAAGTACAGCAGGAAAAGGATGTACCTAAAAAGTAGTTAACAAGGGCCAACTCACCCGGCCAAAGCAGAAACTTTTCAGAAAAATGATTCTCTGGAGATTAACCGAGAGGAAGCAAACTACATGGATAGAAAAGAGGCTTTTCTCACAACAGACTACCCACCCAGTGATGGTAGGAATAATAACTTCTCTGGAAACCCTCCCAATGGGAAGGACTACATTAATGATTCACCAAGCCCAACCAGTGGGTGGGACCCTATATGTATGTTTTTTGCCCCCTGTATCCAGTGTTCTATCTATTTAAGCATGTAGCCCAATGTCCATACCTGGAAGATGTGTTTCAGTGTTGGCTTCTTATGGCTGCCACATAATAAATCTTCCTCTTGCCCTTCACCAGGGTTGAAGAGCCAGATCTAATATGTACAACTTCTGGAGTTTGGTTTTGGAGTCTAAAAACTCCGGTTTCAGTTTGACTGCCAAAAAACCCTTAGTGGTCACCCTGGCCCATATATATAGGCAAGCAATGATATATACTGATAAGCACTCTTGCGCAGGGGACACAGTTTGCTATTACAGTAGTAGAAAGGGGAGGATTGGCATTCTACTTCTACAGGTTGACCTTTGGTAGATAGACAACAACCGTCTGGCTATAGCACCTTTGCCCATAAAAGGAAGTTCATATTATGTTTTCTAATAGAAGATAAGATAAAATGGAAGTTAAGAATGTCAATGTAACCTTGTTTTTTTTATTTTTTCAAGTGAAAACTACCTCAAACCACTTAAGTCAAAGGCAACATCTCTTTGTATCAATAAAACACTCCCAGTCTTATAAAACCAGCCTTGCTTTCTATTTGTGTACCTGGGCCCCTAAACCCAGCCAGAGGAAATACCATCAGTTGGAAAGAAAAAACAATGCTGGTACCAAGTGAACCAATGACATAGCAGTTGGCACTTATTTCTGAAGGGCAGAGCTGGTTCTCGAGCAATAACACATTGAGCAGAGTTGAACTATAGAAGTACCACGTAAAGAAGAAGAACTGGTGCCAAGGACCACCTGAGCCTCAGGAAGGAGGCAGTTCTAATGGGACAGGCATTCATAGAAGGAATTATCAGACGTGGACACGAGCCTCTACAGAACAGAGTTTACTCCTTGCCATCTAAAGACATCAGCAGGCTTCACTGTTGATTACATTTTATGAATGCTGTTTTGTCTCACAGGAACTTGTTCTTTGCCTTTAAGACAACTGCCATATCACCCTTAAATGGGGATGAACAACCGTATAATTAAAACTGTGCCAGACTTGTCTGTCCAACAGATTTAGCAAGGTTTCATGTCTTGAAAGAAATCAAGTTAGTAACTTTCTTGATGTCATCCAGGGCTTATTTTGAAGTTCTCAGGGCAACTGAAA